ATCTATTTAAAGCTTATTGGGCTATCGTGCTAAACCACACACACGTTTGCGCGCACCCCTCTGGCGAATGTAATGACGGCTGTGTTTGCTATAAGGTCCGGGGGTTCTGCTGGTATGGCTGTACGTGGTCAGCCTACAATGACTGGGACGATGACGTCGACATTCCAACCGCTGACTGGCACTTCATCACAGGAGCGAGGAGTCACCACGAGGACCGCTATGAGTAAGGAACGATTCCTTCCCCTTAAAAATAAACTCGACAACTTCAGTCTCAAGCCTCTGTCTTACATTCAGAACTGTCCCCAGGCCACCAACTGACCAGGTTTAGGCTTACATTTTCATTATATGAATCGAATTTAATTTAAATTTGAGTTAGCCAGCGGAGAAACGGAGCGGAAACAAAGCGTTCACGGATGGATTCCAGGCTAAATTTGAGTCACATCTCACTGACAACCACGCCACGACCTATTTTCGAATACGAGTACCAGCCAAACATGGCCGAGGCTCCCGTCAATACCCGAATGTTTTAAACATTTCGAAACATTCGACTGGCGCAGCCGATTATCAGTCGACCTCACTGAACGCCATTCGATCTTGCTCCTATGTTTGGGGGCTTTCGTCAGTGTTCGGGAGGTCATAATCGGCTATGCATGTGTGGCAATGTAACCACTCCAACACTGCTCACGTCTCTGTCTCTCCTACAGGGATAGGAAGTGGAGCTACCAACGCTGTGGACTCCGAGCCTGCTAACCAGGAGAAGTCTCACACATGGCGACGCCAAGCTGCAAACCCTCCAGACTCACATCGATAATAATGATAATGATAAATGATGATGATAACAAACTTGGTATTGTACATAACTACAGTTCCATAAGGCTAATCTACCTATTGTAATAGTGTGTAGTATGGGTTGAGGATATGGTATGGGATGAGAATGTGCATTTGCAATCATTTGAGGAATTTCTAACGTTTAGACATTCTTTACCATACTTTCCTATGATAATATGACATGTAATGGGTTGGGTTTTGCTTCAGTGCCTCTGGTGGCAGCTCACCTGTCTGTGGGTTTTCCCCATGAAAAGTCCATTATATACAAGAACATCGAGTGCAAGGAAATGCGTGGTAATGATTTGAAAGTTGGTGGACATTGATCCGAGACTTTATACCCCCAAATGTCAGTTGTACCCTTTTACCCCCTGTGAGGACAGCACGTCGGCAGAGCGTACTGCAGGACGAGTGTAGAACGTTCACGAACCATTCCGCATGAGATTGACGGCCAATGTGATTGACTTCGCCGGCGCTGTTCAGTCGCATACCTAGAATCATTCAAAGAACCAGCGTGCTCAGGATTGAGCGATTACTGCGTCTCAATCCTTCAACTGTGTTTGCGCTGTGCAAAAACATGGGATTAAGTTTATGCTTGATTGCATGGATAAAAGGACTCGTAGATACATGTAATGTTATCACCCCCACTGATGTCGGTAATTAAGGCTGGCCTCACGTGGCGGTGCGTTCTGTCATGTCTACCCTCACCAGGACTTCATATACAACATTGTGCTTAAATTTATATAGACGTTTATTCCCAAATGTTAACAAGAAGCCATAGGCGACAATTCTCCGTGAAGTATTATATATTGCAACAAAAAGAAGTAGCCATTGGCGACAATTCTCTGTGAAGTGTGATAAATCGAACAAAGAAAAATTGTTTAAACGCGCGTCGGCTCAGTCATCTTAAGACGCAACAACCAATCAGAGATGCGAGATGCCTACACGTGACGCGGGAAGGGCGCGCGATGCCCGAAATATTTTTGCGTCAATATTCAGCGCCGTGATTCAAGACAATTTTTTTCTTGTTTTGAACGCATTAACACGCATTTACGCTAATCTAGTATGATTCAGGGTTACTTTTTTTTAAACCTGCCATGGCCAGATTATCTAAAGATGTGTGTATTGTGTGTACAATCTATAGAAAGAGAAATGTACATCAGGTCCGATCATCCGATTTTCACGTTTCGGTTTTTTGGACTCGGTTCATGAACGTATTTTGGTTTGGCTCCTGGAATGTGCGAAAAAATGACTCCCGGGACTGTCTACAGGGAACACTCGCACATTCGCGGTGTATCAGGACAGCGCGACTGGTCGTCATTAGCGCAGTAACAGTTGCATAAACGGACGAAACCATTTCAAAGAAATGGGGATGTTTCGAAAATAAGCATTTACTCCAATATCAAAACAGCTACGGTAAAAATAAAAAGACGTGCATCATCCCGGACATAATGCAACACCACATGCGAAATTACACAGAAATGCGACGTACGGAAGAATGCGTTTTGGCTGCGAACATCTTCCAAAAACTTGGCATCTCTTAACCATGGGCAAAAACATCTGGAACCACTTATATAAACCACCCCGTATCTGCATGAACTTTTTTGAACCCCACTGCTATTCCAAACAACGCGTTTTTCTGGACCATTCCAATTCGCCTCGTAATTGTAGGGGTGCGTCTGCGATATTACATTGACCGCGAAAGCAGCAATGCTTAGATATTCTAGCCTGAAATCAGCTATTCCTAATGTTTGGAAAGATACAGTAAAGAAGGATCAGCTTGATAACTCGGTGGAAGAAACCATCGATTCACATACTTTTTCTTGTAAGCAGTTGTATGACATGTATTTAAAACAAACATTTGAACCCCCAACGGGCCAAGACGAATTGTTAAAAACTTTTGAACATGAAAACAACTTAAAAAATGTGTATTTACTACCTTTCATATGTACTAAGAATGTTAAATTGCAGTATTTTCAGTATAAGATAATACACAGATTTTTGCCGACAAATTGTTATTTAAAGAAAATTAGAGTTAAAGACTCGGACAAATGTCCTTTTTGCGATAGTAAACAAGATCTAAGTCACTTATTTGTGGATTGTTGTTATGTTACTAAATTTTGGGATGACTTTCGCCTATGGTGGCTCGACACTTTTTCTGAACATATCGCACTAACAAAAATTGTTATATTGTATGGTATAATCGACAAGATGGAAAAAAATAGATACCTGAACCACTGTTTACTTCTCTGCAAAATATGACATCTATAAGAGTACAGCATTGAATAAGAAACCCCATTTTTGTAATGCATTATTTTCATGATTTTCGAGACAAACATTCTTCGTAAAATGTTACAGCACAAATATGTATTCTGTGTATTAGTATATTTGTATTAAGGGGCTTGCCACACTGTTTCCTATTTATTGTATGTACATCTCTTAGTTAAACGAATAAAAAAAAAAAAAAAAAAAAAAAAAAAAAAA